GATCCAAAAAGTAATTTTCAGATCAGCATACCCAAGTACCACTATCAAAAAGGGAGTTCAGGGGTGGCAAACTACATGCTTCTTCAGTAAAGGTTTCATTAAAGCAGTATTAAGCCAAAAAGCAAACATTTAATTATTATTATTATACAGGATTTATATAGCGCCAACAGTTTGCTCAGTGCTTTACAATATCAAAGGAAGACAATACAGCAATGATACAGTTCAATACAAGAGGGTTAGGAGAACCCTGCTCCTTGGATCTTATAATCTAAGAGGGTGGGGCTGGTGGTACAAAAGGTAATAACTGTAGGGCATGAACTGATAGGAGGAATAGAAGATTCCGTTATTAGCTGAAGGCGGGATAGGCTTCCGTGAAGAGATAGGTTTTCAGATCTCGCCTAAAAGTGGGCAGAGTAGGCGACAGTCGGATAGATTAGGGTAGAGAGTTCCAGATCATGAGGGAGGCTCTCCGAACATGGGAGGAGGAGACAAGGGAACTTGAGAGCAGGATGTCATGTGAGGATGGTTTGGGTGATATTTGGAGACAAGATTGGTGATGTAATTTGGGGCAGTTATAAATAGCTTTATATGTTATTGTTAATGTTTTGAATTTTATTCGTTGGGCAATGGATAGCCAGTGGAGGGATTGGCAGAGAGGGATGGCAGATATGGAACGGTTAGTAAGGTGGATGTGTCTGGCAGCAGTATTCATGATAGACTGAAGAGGGGATAGCCTGTGATTAGGTAGGCCAATGAGGAGGGAGTTACAATATTCAAGGCGAGAGATAACAAGGGAGTGAATAAGTTGCTTAGTGGTTTCAGAGGTCAAGAACAGGCGTATCTTGGAGATGTTGCGGAGATGAAGTCTACATGATTTGGACAGTGATTGGATTTGGTGCTGAAAAGACAGATGGGAGTCCAGGATTACACCTAGTACCTTGGCATGAGGGGAGGGACTGATGTTTGTTTTATTTATCTTAATGGAGAAGTCAGGGGAGGGTCACGGGGTGGAGGGAATAGTATGAGCTCTTTTTTGGAAAGATTTAGTTTGAGGAACTGGAGTGTCATTCATGCTGATATGTCACTTAGTAGGTTAGTAATGCGAGAAGAGACTGAAGGGGTGAGGTGAGGAGTAGAAATATAGATTAGTGTGTCATCAGCATAGAGATGGTACTTAAAGCCATGGGAGTTTATCAAGTGACCAAGGGAGGAGGTGTAGATGGAGAAGAGAAGGGGTCGAAGGACAAAATCTTGAGGGACCCCTTCTCTTCTCTTCTCAGAAAGAGGAAAGGAGGAGACAGAGTTATAGGTAATGCTGAAGGAGTGCTGCGATAGGTAGGAGGAGAACCAGGAGATAGCAAAGTCTCGGAGGCCAAGAGAGTGGAGTTTTTTTGAGGAGGAGGGGATGTTCAACAGTATCAAAAGCCTCAGAAAGGTCAAGTAGTAAGAGTATGGAGTAGTGACCATTGGTTTTAGCAGTTAGTTAATCATTAGTGAGTTTTAGTAGGGCAGTTTCACTGGAGTGTAGTATATTTAATGTAAATTGTAGCTTACCAACTGCTAGATGTGATGGCTTTATTAATGTTTCTGTATAGGCTTTCTTTTCCTTATTTTCATCTGGTGATCTGGCTTTTAAGTTTATTGTTTTTCAAAAGAACAAGCTCTTTTACAGATGTAATAGTTACAGGGTCGAAACAAACTGTTTAACACTGACAGTGGTGCTTACAATGATAAGCTTTTTAAATTACTTTATTTATTTATGTAGAACCTTTATTACAGTAAGCCAAAAACAGTTGCTGTAACTGCTTATAAAGTGTTAGCTGGAGTGTATCCAAATCTGCTGGTACATGTAACCCCCCTCTTACCCAGACTGAGAATGCTGCTGTCCAAAGGTGCCCCCTGTGCTCCTTCATTCAGAGTGGAGGCACTCTGATACAGGAAGGATGTAGCTGGCCAGATCACTAGGTGAAAACAGAGGGAAAAGGCCTAGAAAAAAAAAGAAACAAATGCAGCCTTCACATCTAATGATTGGTAAGCTGTAATATATTACATTTTTGGTTTTTGGGTTTAATACTGCTTTAAATAAAAGAAAACAAAAACCTTTTACATTTTTAATCAATACTTTTTTTCTTTATCTCTGATAGATTTTGCAGACAATTTTCTGCTGCTTTTATATGAAATTCATAAACTTTGTGACTGTATTTCTCTAGTATCCCTCTCTGCACATTTACTGCAGCAATTAATTCTGGGGCTTGAAGTGAACCTGGTCTATACTCTGATGATCTGCAGCTATAAGTACTAACTGAAGCAGGCTCCACAAGGTGGAAGTTGAAATTCGGTAACAGCAGGTATCTTGCAGTGCATGCTCTTGTGCAGCAATTATTTTTTTAAATAGAGTGGAGAAAAACTCAGTTCTGCACTAGATTTTATAGACCATGTCATGTCATCATGTGTTCAAAAAGTTGGAAGGTCTTTGCAAATTGCTTCAACCTTACAATGGAAACCATTTTCCATATGTGGAGGAGATTAAAGAATAACTAGATTTTAAAATATATTTTCTGTGTAATCATAGCTGGATTGTATGTTGCCCATCTAGTTTAGCCTTCCTGCATTATTCTCTCATGATCATAGCTACCTGAGTGGTTTGATGTTTTCTGAAGTGCAGACAAGGCACTCATGCGTTGCTTTGAAGCAAAGAAGGTCAGGAGGTTCGAGAGGCCAGCAAAATAATTGGCATGCTGTCAGTGCAGATGTGCTGGGGAAGACTAGGGAAGACTGACATACTGATAGTCCCTTAATGCTGCCCCTGCCTTCCTTATTTACCTTGTTACATTTCCTGTCTGCTCAGTGCTTCTAAGTTCAGAACATTAGAGAAATACGAAACTCGTGTCTGATAACGAGGCGCTAGCGTTCAGCTTTTACTGGCAAAGCAGTGTCAGTGTGATTGGAACAATATTTATCTACTCTGCCAAGAATTACTCGATAGCATCTGGAGCCTTCTTTTTCCCTTCTCTCCTCTTACCTTTGACTCCACTTAACAGCTACATTTTGTGTCCATATAGACATTAAAGAATTAATTCTCCATGGCAACAGCTGCAATCCATTATTTTCTGCCAGTGGGAATGTAACTGATATTTGGCAAAGAAGGGTCGCAATACAAATGGGAAAGCCATTCATGGAATCCATTAGTAGCTGATTTTATACAAAAATAAAAGCTGGCTGGGTAAAGGGTATTCAAGAGAAATTAGTAATTAGTAAGATGATATGTATCTAAAATGTGCATTTAAATGTACATTTTACAGTTGCTAAAAGCTATATGACCGTGGCACAATGGTGCTTAGTTGCGGTGTTCAGAGATACATAGAAGTAAGTTTAAAGTTCAACCTTAATCAGTGTATTTGTCAGAACACATGCACATATTTATCAAGGATTGTCTCTGGGTTCTGTAAGCCACAACTTTTGTTGCCCTGCTGACATGGAAGTGATTTCCTATCCCATCATTATGGTGCCTCTACATGTATACAGAGCCAGAGCATGAAAGGAAATACTGGTCTTGTTGGGATCCACCAACACCTTTAGGCTGCTGTTCTCAACTGCTGAACCTATGTAACCAAACTTCTGCAGAGTATGGCTTATAAAGAGAATTACAGAACAAAATTAATAGCAAAAACATGATTAGAAATAATGTATGTTCTCTCTTGCCCATCTATTATCTTCTCTATTTAATTTTTGTACTTACTGTCATACATCTTTATTTTATTTTGTTACGCACTGTCATACATCTTTTTTCCTTATATCTCAGCCTTTACCAGTTGCATTTTCCACTCTATTGTGTTAGTATAATACTACTATGCTAAATCCAAGGGAGAAGCAGATTCTCCCTATGACCCAATTGCTGTAGTCATGGCCTTTTCTCTTGTTTCACCCTTAGCAGTTTTGTTCTTCCCTTTGTATCACTTTAATGTACTCTGGCACATAGATCCTCATTGTCCCTCCAGTTAACATTCATTAACATTAATCTGTAGTATTTATGGCAGTTGCCATCACTGATTTTTTTTTTTTTTTAGAAAAGTTGCCTGTCTGGCACTCACTAATAAGTGAATCTCCAATCCAGAACAAGCATACAGCCAGTATGGTCTGCAGGTTGATATGTTCTTGCTTGTTCCGGGACAGTGACTCACAATGTACTAAAGACTTATGTTATGCATAACATCCAGGTAACAGCTTTCAGTGTGTGTGGATAGGGGAATCCATTCATTTTCTTTCATTCAACCCACTGGCTGAACAAAGGAAAATGCCTGCCTTAGTAAATAGAAAGATAGATATATTATATTTACTTGTTTTAAAGTTAAATTTTTTCAGTTGTTTCTAAGTTTGTGGCCTAGGCCAAAATTACGTCATACATACCATGAGTCTTTATGGGCATTTTTTTCTGTCATTTGGAGGAGGGGAGGAATGGCCTTTTCAGCTAAGCACTCCCTCCTGTATGCCTGTGCTAAGGGCAGATGGATTCCAGGAAGTAAATGCTACATTAATCATTTGACCTTATGATGGCCATAGCTAGAAATGCTAGAGGGTGTTATTCAAACAAAATAAAGCATGGAGACATGGATAGATGGGTAAGTTTGCTTTGAATATTAAAAATTAATTAAACTGTGTTTTCAGTTTGTGGTGCTCAGATACAGTAAAGGTCTGCTTTAAAGTGTTTCTAAACCCACAACAGTAAAATCAGTCTGTATATGCAGTAAAGCATGCTTGTTATACTCACTGTGGAACCTAAGGGGTTAATCATCTGCATTGTGTAAAAAGGCCATTTGATCCTAACTTCTCTGCTCCTCCTCTTGTTCAAATGTCCTTGTCTAATCTCCTGATAAGACAGACTGAACTGTAGTCATTCTGCACATGCTCAGTTTGGTGTGTATTGCTAGAGAGGTGTTTTTTTTTTTCTTCGGAGAGTGCATGTGATCAGCACAGGGTCAATCAGCACTGTCCAGTCAGAGGTCAGGGATTTTGCATCCTCCTAGAGCAGAAAGAAAACTCCTCCTACAAGCTTTAACCAGTGTTCTACTGAACACTGATAGAAGTCACAAGACTTCTCTAACTGCTGATGAGGAAAGGTATTTAGCAGTTTATATTTACTAAAATAATTGCACTTCCATATTATGTGTACTGTGGGAGACCAGATATAGTGAATGCAGGGTCCTGGGTTTAGTAACACTTTAAGTTTTTCATAAAAGAAACAGCTAGAGTAGTAATGGTTGATTTGTGACATTTGCATGATAGCTTGATGATGATTATAGCACATGCGAAGTAAAGACATGAAATTTGTCATTCACAGTGATCGTGATCTGTGGTTATCAAAAATTCCATTAGTTTCCACCTGTGAGAAAAACTGACATTTTTCATGTGGAGGTATTTTCTTCTGGACTAGTACTGGTGGAGTTTGCAAAAGGTTGAATTTGAGGACTAATACATTTTTCCCATTATTTTCTTTGAAATTCACTTGCTTATTGTGTACTTTTTTATTATTTTTTTATAAAGACCCCCAAAAACTTAATATTTTATAGTAAGTTATTTTTCTTCTATTAAAAATGTAATCATTAAGGTTATTTTTACTCCCAGGCAATTTACATAATGGTAAATGTCTGTGGGCAATGTTAAATTTCATTGGCTGACAAAAATGAAAATTGCAACCATTGTTTTTTTTGCAGTTGCTTATTCTAAAAAAATAAAACCTTGCAAATGTAAAATGATGTCACTCACAAACGTTGACATAGTGAATATATATAACATTTAGATTTAAAGGATGCTGCCCAAAATCAGGTAAAATAACTTAGTCTCCCCTATACAAAAAAGCTGGGTTGAGTGTCTCAACTCAGCATGGCTCTTTGTCCAAAGTCTATTAAAGGTGTATGCCCAACCAAAACTAACTGCATCTTGGGTGGATTCTAACAGTTTTTTTTTTTAACCCACCTACAGTAAAGTAACTTTGGCTCCCCTAACAGCCCCTGAAATTTTTTTTAAAATCACCTGAAGTCCTACACTTCTCCTCCTGTTTGAATGATGCTCAGGAAGTTAAGCGTCTACTCCTAGTCATTGAGGTGTGGCTCGGCTCCCTGTCCTGAAATGAAAAATAATCTTCTTATGTTTGGGATGTGTAATGGAATGAGACATGTGAATACCTTCTGTATTAAAAAGGCTTTAATGTAACAAGTGTATTTATTGATTAAAGCTGTTTGAATCCATTGGTCCCACCTTAACATACAGTAACCTACAGTATATGTTTATACTATCTCACTGGATTCCAAGCCCTTCTCCATAGAAGACATGGTTTTCCTACTGCACTGATGATGGCCAGTTAGGCTGAAACAGTTGTATGCAGTTTGGAATAAATGGGACTGCTCTAAAATATTAGGCTATATTTGCACAGTACACTAGTGGTTCTGGATGTTAACCTACTAGCTTGTCTTTGGACAGGAAACTTGGGTATCCAGAGAGAAACCATACAAGCACATGGAGAACATTCAAACTTCATGCAGATAGTGTTCTGGCTGGGATTTGAACTAAGGAGCCATATTTTATAGCAGTTGCGTAGTTGCATTCATAGTTGTAACTCTAAATCAGCAGAACATTTATCAGAAGATAGTGTTAGAAGAAAAATATGTATGCTCAACAATCAGAGGGAAACTCTTATATGTGCAAAGGAAATAGAGCAATTACAAGTAGACAAGTATTGCCAGTGGTTTTAATATTACTGCTATATTTAAATAGCCTCTAAAAGCAGATCTGTACTAGTCACTGTCTGCCCCAGGCTTAAGTAAATTGAATGGGAAATAAAGCAGTATGATATTGGTTTGGATATTCAAATACTATAGCAGCAAACAATATTTATTTTATATTCGCATCCTGCCGTGCTACTTTCCACAGCTGAACTAACTCTTTGTTACTCCCAATTTGTTTTTCAGATTGCTATCAAATATTTTATGTTTACAATATACAGTATTACAGCAATATAGCAAAACAATCATCAGAATGCTACTGTATATAATTATTTATTTTATATTATCCTAAATTGGTATTTTAGCACAGATAAAAATATCCCTGTTATTTACTGTGATAGCAATGTCATTTCTCATCATAATAAACATAATTGTATATATTTTTTTTTTATTACTGCTAACACTAGTAAAGAAGTACAAGACGGCTGCCCATAGATGTGCTTTTGAATTTTAGTAATGGTACCTTTACATGTAATTATATTGAAATCTGACTAATTTTTCAAATAGTATAATTGTATATAGAGTGAAAATAATCAGGGAGTATTAGCACTAGATGCAAGTGGACAGATTACCCAACCGGTGACTTTTATCTGCTGAAGATGTAAAATTATAGATGTTGCAAAAACAACTCATTTTGAATGAGTAGCAAAGCACAAGCCACACATGGAAATGGGATCTCTATGAATAAGCCCAGCAGGATAAAACATGTCAGACAGGGGCAGTTCCCAAGCAGGGATGTTGTATGCTGTTTGTAACTCAACAGAATAAGTGCATATTTGCTGTACAGCTTTGCTACTCACTTGGGATTAGGAAAGTGGACAAGCTTCTTTGCCAGCACACAGAGCACCTGCACAGGAGGAGAGGCTTGGTATATGAAGTGGTGCAGATGGTTCAGATCCTGTAAAACCAACTAATTGTTCATTTGTAGGGACAATGAAGTATATGAAACGTCAGAACCTGGGATCGAACCTGGGCCTTCTGCGGTGAGAGATAGTGTTTCTTCTCACTAAGCTACCTGGGATGCTGGACAATACTCTGCCTTATCTATTGGATAATCCTGCCTTGTGCCTTGTTTTCTCTTGAACCTTGAACTCCTTGCTCCTCCCATGAACTTCCTATAAAAAAGCCATGTCCATTGCACTTCCTCCTTGCCAGATTATTGTGCCTTCCAGCCAATATCCCGCTTCTCTGTCCTTCTGCCGTCTACATCTTCGCTACCGACCTCTGGCTTGTTACTGACTACAATTTTGCCTCATCCTATCTACTATGATTTGTGGCCGACCATTGGCTTGTGACTGACTCCGCTTCTGTCTTATCCCTCAACTGATTGATCCGCTATTGGTTTCCAGCTTCCCCTTTCCCTGGTGGGGTGATCCTGAGACTGCGATCTGGTATTCACACGCAGCCAAATCCATCTCCACCATTAGGAGCTCTGGTGAAGACCGGTGAACACTTAGACCCCGCACCTCAGGTGAGCCTGCGTCATTCCAGGGTGATCCGTTGGTGTACTTATCCTGCTGGTTTCAGGTAAGCCTTACACTGCTGTAGCAACTGGTCTCTGAACCTGACCGCATTCCTTGACATGAAAGTTCTTAGGATTATAAAATATGGCGAAGACGACTCAATAGTAAATCCCATTTCTTAATCATACACCACAGGATACAGGAGAGTTAAAAGAGAAGTATAAGTATGTTTTTTTAAAATCATACTTACCTAGGATGCAGCTTTGATCTGAGAGGTCTGGAAGTGTGGCCAATATACTGTTGTGGATAACTACATCTTTTCTATTCTCCAGTTCAGTAATACCTCTTCTAATGTACTCAAGGTCTTGTATTTTCCTAATTTTTAATGTGTCCAATTCCCCCAGGACCATGTTGCAGAAGATTTCTATATATTTGTTATCCATAATGGGTGGATTAAACACTGGTTTATTAACCTCCCTGCAGGTATTCCCGAGTGTAGCTAGGGGTAAAGTTTCAGCACCACAAGCGGTAACCCCGAGCTACACTCAGGAATATCCTGCAGTGCTGCTCCGGGATCTCTTCTTCACTTACCTTGTCCTGCGCTCCCACGATGTCCCTCCTGCAGTGTCCCCTGCAATGTCCTCCTGTCGATGTCGGCATCCATCTTCTAGGTTTCGTTCCCTGTGACGTCAGGACGTACGGGGGACGGAACTGGCGGGAAATTTAAAAATGTGAAAAAGTGACATTCACTAAATACACTAAAATCACATAGTAAAACATTACTGTATCAAACCATTTCACATACGTTTTGTCCCGAGTGCTTTGTACGGCGCCCTGCCCGCATTTTTACCGTTCTTTCTGCCTGGAAACTGAGGAATGTCCATGGCGTCCAAAAAGCGTCCCTTTAGGTCAAAAGCAGTTTTAGACGAGCTAGAGAACTGTGATAGTAAATTAGAACTACTTGTAGAATTGAGTGATAATGATTCGTGGGGAAATTCGTCATCAGACACTGAAAATGATTTTTCGACTTTGCTCGGTGATGTGCGAACTTGGCACTCTATTTCAAATTTCAATGCTTTTGGTTTGATTATAGTATTGAATTACATTTTTTATTATTATTATTATTATTTTTTTTCATGATTACTAAATTATAATTTATGATTTTGTGATTTAAAATTTTAACATAGCCGGGATGTTTACTAGACTCTTGTTTGGACAGATTTCAGCGAGTTATTCCTAGAAATTACAGGCCTACAATAAAAAAACTACACATTTCTATGCAAAAAAAATGTACTGCTTTGAGCACAGAAATACTGACATAATCAGACTGCTAGGGAGGTTAATAATAGGAGAATGTAAGAATTTGTAGCTAACTCCACGGGAAGGAAGTACACATTGAAACAATTCATGATGTGCAATACTGAGGGGGTTATTCATATGCTAGAGTGTCCGAGCCACCAACAGCATGTTGACTGCACTTCCAGACCTCTCCAAGTGCGTATAAGGGAACATGTAAATAATATCAGAAAAGGTGAAAAAAAGAGCAGGTTCCCAAACATTTGAGGGGTGGTCACTATATTAGACTTTTTGATGTATGTTAATTTTAAATGGAAAGTGTGATATTTTTGTTTTTATTATGCAATATTGCAAACTTTTATGTGTTTAATAATGTGCAGTTCTGTCATTCAAGTGGCAGGACTGCTAATTTGGATGATTGAGGATTAGAGTATAAAAGTGATTGTTTACTGCTCATGTACTGTATTGTGCCTGTACTGGCAAAGTTATTCCCACATTGCTAAGGTCCTCTTCTGGCAATGTTTACCACTGCATGTGGAAAGCATACTCTGGTGTGAAGCTTCATCCCAGAAAACACTACCTGGGATGGGTTATCCTTCAAATAGAATTGGATAGGTCTTTTACCCCATAAACTCATAAGGGTCAGGTTTCTGCCGTGGCTGTGCTGTTCTAGAAAATACTAGCTTCCCATTCCTTAGTCAGAGCCTTTGTTCAAGGGGTTGCTCACATTGTACCACCAGTACACTCTCAGTTAACTCAGTTCGATCACAGTCTGGTGTTGTCAGTCCTTTACAGGCCACTGTTTAAATCTTTTGGGCACATTTCTCTTTATCATCTTTCAGGCAAGGTTGCCTTTCTTGTGGCTATCACTTTGACAAAGCTTGCGGCTTTGCCCTATAAGGAACCTTTTCTTATACTCCATGAGGACAACGTGGTTTGAGACCTCAAAAATGCTTCTTGCTCTTTCATTTTAATAAGGACCTAATGTTGACTTCCTTTTGTTTGGCTCCAAGATATCTTGAGGAGATTGCTCTCCCCTGCCTGGGTGTAGTTAGGACTGTATGAGCCCATATCACAGCCTAAGCCTTGACTCATCAGTTTAATTCTCTGTCCCTGTTGCCTTATGGCTCCTGGAAGGAACAAACTGCCTTTTGATCCACAATTGCTAGGTTTTATCTGACTTTACTTAGGCATAAGACCTGAAAGGAAGTGTTACCCCTTTTCTGTGAAGGCTTACTCCACCAGAAGTGTCAGTGCTGCTTGGAATTTCCAGCATCAGTCTTCAAGTTGTTAGCTCTGTAAGTTCCCACTAGTATTGAAGCCTTGGTGGATGTTGGCTTTGCTCCAGGAGACCCTGTATGAACAATTACAGCCTATGCGTTCAGCCCTACCATATTGTACTGATACTTTTGAGAATGTAAATTGACAAATCTCAAGAACTGCTTCCATCCGTGTGAACATGCTAAAGATTATATGGCTAAAAGCATGGTTTGCTGAACTTTCTGGTAAGAAACACCTTGGAAGAATCCTTTGTTAAGTTCATCAAAGAAGTAACTGGGACAAAGGTACTTTTACCCCACTAGAAAAGCCTTGTGGCCAGGTGTCAACCTTTAAACCAAGGTTTAACCCCCCCTGGCAGTATTCCCGAGTGTAGCTTGGGGTTAACTTCCAGTACCAAAAGCGGTAACCACGAGCTACACTTGGGATTACCCTGCAGCATTGCTCAGGGATTCCCTCTTGCACTTACCTTGTCTTTCGCACCAACAATGTCCCCCCTGCAGCATCACCGGCCATTTCCTCCGGCCAGTGCCGGCATCCATCTTCTGGGTTCCGTTCCCTGCGAGTGTCGGGACGTACGGGGGATGGAACCGGCGGGAAATTCAGACATTTTAAAAGTGACAATCCCTCAATACACTAAAATCTCATAGTATAACATTACTGTATCAAACCATTTCACATACATTTTGTCCCTAGTGCTTCGTCCTGTGCCCTGCCTGCATTTTTACTGTTCTTTCTGCCTAGAAACTGAGAAAAGTCCATGGCTTCCAAAAAGCAGTTTTAAACCAGCTAGAGAACAGCGATAGTAAATTAGAACCACTTGCAGAATTGAGTGATAATGATTTATGGGCAAATTCATCATCAGACATTGAAACCGATTGTGCGACTAAGCTCAGTGATGTGCGAACTTGGTGCTCTATTTCAAATTTCAGTGTTTTTGGTTTGATTACAATATTGAATTAAATTTCTATTAAATTTTTATTATTATATTATTATTTTTTATGATTATTTATTATATTATAATTTTTAATTTCGTGTTTCAAATTTTATCATACCCGGGATGTTTACTAGACTCTTGTTCGGACAGATTTCAGTGAGTTTATTCCTAAGAATTACAGGCCTACAATAAAACAAAATGACATATTTACATGCAAAAAAAACAGTTTGAGCACAGAAATATTGACATAATCAGACCGGTAGGGAGGTTAACACTTCCTTTTGTGGCATACTCTGCCCTATAAGTGCACCAAGCCCTCCCAGAATCCTTCTTCAGAATGAAGGGGTGTCCCATTTTCTCTGTTTCAAAGGCATACAAAATCACATTTGTATTATCCCTTGTTTTCTACCTTCCAATCTGCCAGCTTCATATCAAAGATTGGCAGACTTGATGGCTGCCTTGCACCAACTTAAGGAGTTGTTGTACCAGTTCATGTCAGAAGCACTGCTTCAAGGTTTCTATTCAAGCCTAAACACAGTCCAAAAACTGAATAGGAGCATTTGTACAATACTGGATTTAAAATCCCTAAACAGATTTGTTTGTGTACCAAAATTCCAGATGAAATCTAATAGATCTCTTATTGCTTCTCTCAAACAAGGAGAATATCTTGCATCAGTAGACATGCAAGATGCTTACCTACATTTTCTCAGCACACCAGCGCTTCCTGTGTTTTGCTGTGCCAGTGGGCAGCACTTCCAGTTTGTGGCATTTCCATGTGCAGTCTGTTCTGCACCCTGTATGTACACAAGTGCTTGCTCCGCTTCTATTAACCTCCAGTATTTATTTGACAGGTTACATGGACAATACTCTGCTGAAAGACTCCTCAGCCAGGATATTGTCTGCCAATGTCCAAATTACCATCTAGTTCTTTCAAACCTTTGACTGGATAAACAACTTTCCAAAGTCTGGAGCACCTGGGTCTAATCTTAGACACAATGACCTTCCATTCTCAGGGGAATATTCCCTCCCTAAAGTCCAGATCTAAGAGTTTCAGGTCACGACACCCCTCAAATTACTTTTAATTGAGGGGAGTTCTGGACTTCATGGTGGCCTCCTTTGAGGTAGTTCTCTTGCCTGATTTCACACCAAACTCTTATAGTTCTTTTATCTTCCAAGATGTGGAACAAGCAGACCCAGTCCTTAGATCACCCAATGTTTCTGTCAGTCCAAGCAAAGATCTCCCTGGCATGATTTACCCCCATTTTTGTCCTGGAAATGGGAAAGTTATTCCTTCACAGAACATGGAACATGGTAACAGATGCAGTATTACAGGCTGGGGCTGAGTTTACAACTCCCTAACTGTCCAGAAGACATGGTCCTCACAGGAGTCTATACTACCCATCAACATTCTGGAACTGAGAGCCATCAGAGTGTCTTTATAATAATAATCCACCCCTTCTACAAAGACACCCATTCAGAGTACAGTCAGACAATGTCACAGCAGTGGCCTACAAAAATCACCAGGGCACCAGAAGCCTAGCAGCCCTGAAAGAAACAAGTTTAAAGCTCTCATGGGCAGAAATTTACAATCCAGCTCCTGCAGAGAACAGTTGTCAGGTGGAATTTCTAAGCCATCAACGTCTAGACCTGTGGGGTAGATCTTTCACAATCTTTTCCAGAGGTTGAGAAAACCAGTGTGCATACAGGTTTAACAAAACTGATAAATACATGACCGAGACCAGGAATTATCTAGACTTCACAGTAGATGCTTTGGTGATTCTTTGGATTCATTTCCAAATGGTTTATGCCTTCTCTCCAATGAAGATCCTCCCTATATGCATGTAAGAGGAAAATAGGGTCCCAGTGATTCTCATTGTTCTGTCCTGCTTTTCAGTTCCTGACTTTATTGACAAGGCTGATGAAACCCAGGTTCTAAAGGATAGTGCTATGCCTGACTAGAATGTTCCCACTTTGATTAGAACAAGGACAGAAGGCTTAACCTTAGGGAACACATCACCACTCATATTTTTGGCTTTTCTTCACTCAGTCTCCGTATTCTGTACTCAACCTGTTTTAATGAAGACCTTTTGCATGTGGATGTTTCGAGTTGCCAGCTATCCATTTCTGTAATAGTCTTCATTGTGTGCATGGAAGACACCCACAGCCTGTGCACCAAGCTCTCACCTTTCTTGGGAATCCGATCAGACGTTGTCAATTTTTTGATGTTTCTTCACTTTGGTCTTGACCAGAATCTGGCCCTGAGTGCTCTCAAGGCATAGCTTTCTGCTTTATCCAT